GGGGGGGGGGGGGGGGGGGGGGATGTAGCTCAGCAGGGTCCTGCTAAGTCACGAATTTGCAAGGCTAGACTTGAACACGTATGCTCCTGCCTCAGCCTCTCCGGCTTCCGAGGTCCTGTTTTAACAATCGCCGTGGAAAGAGCTCTTCCCCTCCCAGGCCTCAATGTCCCTCCCAGCGCGGAGCTCAGCTGCCCTTGCAGGCCGGGCTTCCAGCCAGTCCCCAGGGCCTGGGTGGGGGTGGAGTCTCAGCCCCCTCCCAAACTGACAAAAACTGTAGTGAGGAACATCCGCCAGCAGGGGGCACCCCAGCCAAGGTTTCCAGTAGGAATAGGTATTGGTCGCTGGGGTCGGGGGAGACTTCCTACGTAGAAAAGGCTGGAAAAGTCATCAAAGGTGACCCAGCATGCGATTTTCTTTCTACTCCCGACGTCGCGACGATGTGGGACAACACATGCGCCCAGTTTCTTGTGTTTACACCAAGCCAACTTTTGCCTGGAAGCCACTAGGACATGGGGCCTCTCCTCACCTGCTTCTCGGCCCCCAGGCCTCTTCTGGCTTGTCCCAGGGCTCTGAGTCTCCATGCCGGGCTGGGATTGGGGGTGGGGGCACCCTAAGATAGGGGTTTAGGGATTAGGGGCCCAGGGGCCTGGACTTGTTCTCACGTTTTATGGGTTTTTTTTCTTTAACTGGGTCCTGGGAGCCAAGCACGGTGGCAGACGTCTGTCATCCCAGCCTCAGGAGGCTGAGGCAGGAAGATCATCACAAGTTCCTGGCCAGCCTGGGCTACATGTGAGACCCTGCCTCAAAAAAGAAAGGAATAGCACTGGCCGTGGTGGCGCATGCCTGTAATCCCAGCACTCGGGAGGCTGAAGCAGGAGGATCGCTGCAAGTTTGAGGCCAGCCTGGGCTACACAGTGAGTTCAGGGCCAGCCTGAACTACAAAGGGAGACCCTGCCTCACAAAACAAACAAACCGCCTTTTTACCAAGATGGCGCCAAAGGCGAAGAAGGAAGCTCCTGCCCCTCCCAAAGCTGAAGCCAAAGCAAAAGTTTTGAAAGCCAAGAAAGCAGTGCTGAAAGGCACAGCACCCGCCTTCCACCGTCCCGAGACACTGCGGCTCCTCGGCAGCCGAAATATGCTCGGAAGAGCGCCCCGAGGAGAATCAAGCTTGACCACTATGCCATCATCAAGTCCCCTGACCACAGTCAGCCATGAAGAAGACAGAGGACAACAGCACACGCGTGTTCATTGTGGACGTCAAGGCCAACAAGCACCAGATCAAACAAGCTATGAAGAAGCTCTAGGACACTGATGTGGCCCAGGTCAGTACCCTAATCAGGCCTGACGGAGAGAAGAAGGCGTATGTCCGACTGGCTCCTTATGATGATGCTTCAGATGCTGTCAACAAAATTGGGATCTAAACTGAGTCCAGCTGGCTAATTCTAAACACACAGTATTTTCACCATATAAAAAAAAACAAACAAAAAAAGACCATTAATTTGGTGCTAGGATGGAACCCAGGGCCTTCACACTGAGCTGCACCTCCAGTGCTCTTTACTTTTCATCTTTTTTTTTTCTTCTTTTGTTGTTGGGTTTTTTTTTGGTACCAGGGATTGAACTCGGGTCCTTGCGCTGCACAGCAGGCGATGCAACCACTGAGCTACATCCCTGGCCCTTTTTTTTCTTCTTATGGTACCGGGGCCTGAACTCAGGACCTTGTGCTTGAGCGGCAGGTGCAGTGCCACTGAGCTAACTCCCCGGCCCAATTTTTCATTTTTGAGACAGGGCCTCGGTACACTGCACAGGTTGGGCTGGAACTTACAGTCCTCCAGCCTCAGCCTCCCAGCGTGTCTCACTATGCCTGATTTTTTTTCTTTTCAATTTTGATTAAAAACTCAACTCGGGCCGGGGATTTAGCTCACTGGTTCCGGCACCTCCCTCACAAGCACCAGGTCCCGAGTTTGATCCCCGGTACCCCCCCCAAAAATTACACACACAAAACTTAAGGGTCGGGGATTTAGCTCAGTGGTTTCGCCGCCTGCTGCACAAGGGCAAGGATCTGAGTTCCATCCCTGGTACCAAAAAAAACCCCCCAAAACTCAACTCAAACTGATTTAAACAAGGATGAAAACTTTGTGATTCAAAGAACAGGAGAAATCAGGACAACCGGGCTTCTCACACAGCGAGGCTTCTTCTCCTGGGAACACTAGGAAGGACGAAGGTCGGCTCAGACTCAGGGACCCTGTGCTTCTTGTGGGTTTTACACCTGGAGAGTCAGGACAGTGGCCTGGCTGGTGGGGAGGAGGGCCTTCCCTGAGCTCCTGGGTCTCAAAATCAGGCGCCCAGGTCCCCCAACTCTCCCCAGGTCCTGCAAGGGTTTCAGTACCCAAACCTGCACTGGGAGGCAGCCTGGCCTGGGGCCCAGGTCTGAGGCTGGTACAGAGGCATCTCATTGAGAAATCCAGCAACAAGTATTCCTCAATCTTCCAGGCATGGCAGCATATGCCTGCAATCGCACCATTCAGGAGGCTGAAGCAGTATGATCGCCTCAAGTTCAAGACCAACCTGGGCTACATAGTGAGTTCGAGGCCAGCCTGAAGTAGAAAGAGATAGAGATAGGGAGAGAGATAGGGAGAGAGGGAGAGAGAGAGAGAGAGTTCCCTAAACTGAGCCGGGGTAATGGTGCACTTCTGTTGTAACCCCAGCACTCTGGGAGGCTGAGGCAGGAAGACTGAAAGTTCAAGGCCAGCCTGGGTAACTCAGATGGGGGCTGGGGGAGGGTAGTAAGAGTTGAGCAGCCGAGATGGACAAAGCATGCAGGAGGAGAAGGCATATGAAGATGATGTATGCAGAAATCAAGGGACAGTGAAGCTTCTGACAGTCACCAGATTGTCCCTCAGAGCCCCCAGAGGCAGTCAACCCTGTTGACAACTTCATTTCAGAATTCTGGCTTCCTAAACTCTGACAATCCTCATCTCACTTTCCTTCCTTCTGCTTCTTCTTTTACTGGTGATTGAACCCAGGGACTTCGCATTGAGAACTATATCCCCAACCCTTTAAGAATTTATTACTAGTATTTATTTATTTATTTGTTTGTTTGTTTTTGTTTCGCTAATTTGCTAAGTTGTCCAGGCTGGGCTGAAACTTGCGATCCACCTGCCTCAGCCTCACATAGTTCTAAGTGTGAGGTACCAGGCCCGGGTCAGCTCTGGTTTCGCTTTTCATAGTTTGTTCCTGTCAACTGCAGTCCAAAAATATTAAATGGGCAATTCCAGAAATAGTCCACGCCTAGCGCGCGACACTGCGCGCTCGCCAGTGAGTCCTGCCCTGGCCAGCATCCTGGTCATTGATGGACCATCACTGATCGCACTTCCCACATTTATTTTGCTCAATAACAAGGGTATAACGATAACGAGAATCAGACGACCAGGAGCCGCAAGCAACATTAGCACAGCCCAACGACCACGGAGCTGCAATTCCACTCACTCCGAGGCAAACCGAAGCACTAACTGGTTTTATCCCCAGCACGGGGTCCAGACCTCAGATGGTTCCACTGCGCATGCGCTATTACCCACAGCGCACTCCGCACAGACCCGCGTCGCACCGCCCTCTTTTACGTCACTAGAGGGGGAACTTTACGGCTTTGCCTTTATTCCACGGGCGGGCGGGACCGCTGCTCGCCACGCCCACCATATCCAGTAGCCTCCGCCTTACTCTGTGAGAATTGGCTGTCCGACCATCAAACCCAGTGCCGATTCGCTTAAATCTCTGCCACTCCTTTTCGGCCTAGTGGCGCGCAGCGGCGCGGCAACCGGCGGCAACGTGAGCGGCTGAGAGTGCGGCGGAAGTGGCCGGCGAGCCCCTGCCGACGACATGGTGAGGGCCGGGCTGGGCGCTGGCGGGCTCTCCTGGAAGCTGGGGACGCGGACGCCGGGAACCTCGGGGCAGGCGCTGGGAGCTGTAGCGGACGTGCAGTCCTGGCCTCGAGTCCCGCCCCGTGGCCCGAGGGTCGGGAAACTGAGGCGGCACCTGCTAGGGTCCCCGCGCGTCGCTGACGGGGATGTAGAGTCCATCCAGGCTCCCGCTGTGCAGACGACAGCAGGGGCGCGCGGTGTGCAGACTCGCCTGGGCCGGAAGCGGCGGAGGGGCGGCTACTCCCAGGGTCACCCAGCGGTTCCTTCACGGGAAGCCTGGGGTTCTCCATCCAGGAGAGGACACTGTATTCTCCTGGCTCACAGAAGGAAACAACAAAAGCCTCAGCTCCCCGCGGCCACACCGCTCCCGGCCCTGGAGGCGTCGGCCTCGGTGGGGGGACGTCCCGGGACCCCAACGTGCAGACGGCAACGTGGAGTTCAGGGCTGGACGTCTTGGCTCATCAGCGCCCAGGTTCTGTTTTTGGTTTTTCGAGACAGAGCCTCGCTGTGTAGCCCAGGTTGGCCTGAAACTCACAGCAATCCTCCTGCCTCAGCCTGCCTAGTGGGTATTACAGACCTGGACCACCACACCTGGCTTTTTTTTATCTTTTGCAGTGCTGGGCATGGAACCCAGGGCTTCACAGAGGCTAAGCAAGTGCACCACCACTGAGCCATATCTCCAGCCTCGTTTTTAAAAAAATTATTTTGAGATACGGTCTTGATAATTTGCCCAGGCTGCTCTCGAACTTGCTATCCTTCTGCTCTCACACAAGTGGGGTTACAGGTATCCGCCTCCCCCAATATATTTCCCCCTGTTTGGAACAGTACTCAGAGGGCCAGGGATTTAGCTCAGTGTTTCTGCCACCTGCCTCAAAAGCTCAAGGTCCCAACTTCGATCCCCGGTACCTAAAAACTCACAGGACATGGACACCCAAAGCTTCTTCCTCCAGCCTCTTACCCCCCATGAGTGACCCACTTCCAGCACAGCGAGGCGGGACACTAACAACCCCCCACTGCTTGGGCTGGGGCCAAAAAGCGGGGAGCCCAGGAGGACCCTGGACTCAGAGTCTTGACTTCTAGGCCTCTGTCCACCCAGATGACGCCTGGCCCGAAGAGCCTTCCCTGAAACTCGGTTCTCCTAGTTCATGGTGACTCCGCAGCTGGGTGGTTGGCCCTCTGTCTTCTCACTCACACCCCTTGGGTTTTTTTTGGTACCGGGGATCGAACTCGGGTCCTTGCGCTTATGCAGTAGGCAGCGAAACCACTGAGCCAAATCCCCGGCCAACACCGCTTGTTTTTTGAAACAGGGTCTTACTGTGTAGCCCAGGCTGGCCTTGAACTTGTGGCCATCCTCCTGCCTCAGCCTCCTGCGTGCTGGGAATATAGGCATGTGCCACTCTGCTCAGCCTCTTTTTAATTTAATTTTATTTTTTCAGTGCGGGACTCGAACTCAGGACGTTGTGCACGGCGTTGCTGAGCTACATCCCCAGCCCCTCTTTCTATTTTTTCTTCTTTTTCTCTGAGGGGCCGGTGCTAGGGACGAACCCAGGCATCACAGTGCTAGTCGAGCGCTCACCACTGAGCTGCACCCAGCCCCGTGCATCTGTCAGGTTCTCCAGGGTCTGGGGTGAGGACCCCATCCTGACACCACCCCTCCTCACCTTTGGGCCAAGCTGTGTCCCGCCTCCCTGTCTGTCTCCCTGGGTGGCGAGGGATTTCCCGCCAGGATTTATTCATATATTTCCCAAGTCCTCAAGGCCTCATGTGTGCCCGGCCAGGCTGGGGCATAACTTGGCAGGGGACAAAGTACACACCCATCGTGAGTTTTCCAGTCTAGCCAGGGAGACAGGTAATAAATAAACAAGATAATTAAAGGCTGGCAGCCCTGTAATGGAAGCAAACAGCCGCTTGATCTGCTCACTCGCAGAGGGTGGCTATTAAGAGGGCTTGGTCAAAGGAGGTGAGGCTTTCAGCAGCCAGCAGCCCGGGGAGGGTCTGGGGCGGCCTGGCGGCAGGAGTGGACGCGCTGGCCAGGGCTGGGGCTGCAGGAGGCCTGTGTCACCGGCTTGTCCCACCTGCCATCTCAGGTGTTGGCGCAGCTCCTTTTTCTGTCCCCCGCTGGGGGCTCGCATTTGTTGCAGGAATCTGTAATAGCCGAGGAAAGGCCTCGGGCCCTCCCCAGCAGAGGGGACCTGGAGTACGTCCCTGTCATGTCACAGTGAGGAGGCTGAGCCTGCAGCCGCCCTTCTGCTGCAGCCTCCTCTTCATCTCCTGGGAGAAGCAGGATGCCCAAAAAGGCCTCTGGGCCCTGGGCTCAAGGGAATGTGCAGCCACTGGGGACGGGTGGCAAAGCTGCTGTCACCCCAGGAGGCATCTGTGCTGGCGCCTGGTGCCAGGCGTCTGCTGTGGCTGAGATAAGAGACCCTGGACTCTGGAGCCAGGGCCTGCTGCCTGGGTCACCATTCTTTCTGGAACTCAGAGGGAACCCCGGGTCTTGCTTTGTGTTTTGAAAATGAAAAGAATTGATTCTTTCTGGGTTGTGAAACACCACTGAGGGCTGGGGTGTGGCTCCAAGGACAGCAGGCCCAGGAGAGGCCCCAGTGCCCTGGTCCACTACTCTGGAGGCTGAGGCGGGAGGATTGCTAGAGCCTAGGATTTCAAGGCCAGCCTGGGCCACTTAATGAGACCTCATCTTTTTTTTTTATTGTACTGGGGATTGAACTCGGGTCCTTGCACTTGTGCAGCAGGTGATGAAACCACTGAGTTAAATCCCCAGCCAACCTCATCTTAAAATACAAAAACCCTCTTATGTGTTGTAAAATATTTAAGCTGGACATGGTGGCACAGGCCTGTCATCCCAGCACTTAGGACCCTGAGGTAGGAAGATTGCCACAAATTTGGGGCTAGCCTGGGCTACACAAAAAGACTCTGTCTCAAAACAAAAAAAAATAAGCAAAAAAAAAAAGTTTAGGATTGAGAGAAAAGGAAATACCCTGAAAGCTCACCTTAGTTGGGTGAGTATTTAGAGGACTTCCACACTAACCTGGTGAACCTGTCTTTGAAAACCTAGCTCACTAGCTGGGCATCGTGGCACACATCTGTCGTCCCAGCTACTCCAGAGGCTGAGGCAGGAGGGTTACAAGCTCAAGAGACCTTATCTTTAAAAAGCTTGGGCCAGGGCTCTGTCCCCAGCACCAAGAAGAGAGCTGGGCTCGCAGGGGCTGCCCTTGCAGGCCGGGCTGCAGCACTGCTTCAGGCAGGACTGGGCCAACTCCTCCGTGTCCCAGCCTGGCCTCCTCCCTTGGCGTGGGGTGTGTGTTTGTGTCATAGTGCAGTACCCAAAGATGGCAGACCTGCAGCAGCTGGCCCATGGGACAGATGGGATACTTCTGAGGCTTTATTTCCTTGAGACAGGGTCATGCTGTATGGTTCAGGGTGCCCTTGAACTGGCAGTGATCCTCCTGCCTCAGCCTCCCTAGTGCTGGGATCACAGGTGTGCACTGCCACGCCCAGCTACCTGTTTTTTGTTTTGTGGAAACCAGGTATCACTATGTGGTCTAAGCTGGCCATGAACTTGCAGTGTAGCCCTAGCTGGCCTTGAGCTTGTGATCCTCCTGCCTCAGCCTCCCAGAATGCTGGGGTTCCAGGCTTGTTTCCCCGTACTGGCTTGCAGTTTCATTTCCCCTGAAGTCAGCTGAGTCCTAGGGTGCAGAAGGTGTGGAGTGGGGGTGTTGTGCTCATGAGGAATCTGGGGACCCAGGTAGTTGAGTGCAGGGCCGAACGGCCAGGAGCCTTCTTTTTTTTTTTTTTTGGTACCGGGGAACGAACTTGGGTCCTTGCGCTTGCGCAGCACTCGGTGAAACCGCTGAGCTAAATCCCCGGCCCTAGTAGCCTTCTTAATTCCCTCCTGGATATGCACCTGTGCAGCGAGACTAAGGAAAAGCCGATGTGGGGAGGTGAGCAGTGAGGGGGTCACAGTGCCCTCCTGCACCCACCCCAGCCCGCAGCACCTCAGGGTGCCGGTCAGACAAGTCACAAGGTGTATTTGCCTTCCAGTTGCCCCTGTCACTGCTGAAGACTGCGCAGAACCACCCCATGGTGAGTGTGCGGCCCGGGGGGCTCCTCCCGAGGGGCAGGGACTGCTGGCCCTGTCCTGATGCTCCGGGCCCAGAAAGCCAGAGTGCTTTCTGTGCCTTAGAAAAGCAGGGCATGCTACTCACCAGCTTCCAGGGGTAGAGGTGTGTACAGAGTGGGCACCCTCCAGCCGGGCATGGGGTACACACCTGCATCCCCACACTTGGGAGGCTGAGGCAGGAAGGTTGCAAGTTCTATCCCAGCTTAGGCAATTTAGGGAGACCCAGCCTCAGGTTGAAAAATAACAAGGAGCATTGGGGGGCTGGGCCGGGTACTGCACTGAGATCTGAATGAGGCTGGCAGCGTTGGGGTGGGGCGGGGTCCAGCCCCCAGACCCTCCCAGCTCCTCGCAGCCTGGTCTCTCTCCTCAGTTGGTGGAGCTCAAGAACGGAGAGACGTACAACGGGCACCTGGTGAGCTGTGACAACTGGATGAACATCAACCTGCGTGAGGTCATCTGCACGTCCCGGGTGAGTGGCTGCGGGCAGGACACTGCCCTGGTGCCCTCCACATGGGCTGCAGTGTGCAGTGTGCAGGGCCACATGCGGCAGGAGCTCGGTAGCGTCACCCACAGTGGTGCTGTGTGGCTCCCTCCACTCCCGTGGGGGCTGGAGGGACAGAGCAGGTGCGTCCTGTGACTGTGTCCTCCCCCAGGATGGGGCATCGCCCGGGTGTGGCACGTGGGGGCTTGTGCGTGGTCCCTGCCCCAGGTGTGACGAGAGGCACCCTCATTCCAAGGCCGCAGTCCCCACGGCCCACTTGAGACACTGGCTTCCCCGGCTGTCCCCTGCAGCCCGGCGGGTGGCAGGAGAGGCCGTAGCAGGTCCTGGTCTCACCTTAGTGGGTGACAGCAGCCCGGTTCCCGTGGAGATGCTCAGCGGGTGGCCTGGGACCCGGGACAGACAAGGCCAGGCCACACCCACTGCCCACACCAGCTCCGGGTCCGAGGTGGCCCTTGGACTCAGCCTGTCCCGAGCTCCCTCAGAGCCTCCTGGTTCTGTCTGCCCAGACTCAGTGTCCTGACGGGCCCAGTCCTGGCCTGCTCTTTCTGGGGAGCAAGTACCCCAAGGCCTGCGGGGTTCCCACATGGCGCAACCACTGTCCATCCCTGCCCGAGCCGCCATGGTCACTGGTGCTGGCCACATCCCTGTGCCCAGATCGTCTGGTCAGGAGACAGCACAGGGGGCAGGGTGGGCTGCTTAGGGTGTGGGGCTGGGCTGGGCAGCGTGCAGTGCAGGAGAACCCCACCCTGGGCCTCGAACCCCTCACACAGGCGAATGCCTCACTCAGCCACGTCCAGCCGGCCCCGGAGGAGGGAGGTTCTGTCCACAGACAGAGACCTTGCCTCTCAGGGGGGACACAGCCAGGCGTGGTGACGCAGGCCTGTCATCCCAGCTACTCAGGAGGCTGACACAGGTGGATTGCAAATCAAGGCCAGGCTGGGGTGCGGCTCGGGCTCCCTGGGCTCCGTCCCCAGTGTCACATACACAAAAGTGGGGAGCAGGGCCTCGCGATGGGAATGGACACTGCCCCAGCACAGCTCTGCAGCCCTGGGCAGGGCCCGGGGGGGCAGTCACACTGTGGCTCCTCTCCAGGACGGGGACAAGTTCTGGCGCATGCCGGAGTGCTACATCCGCGGCAGCACCATCAAGTACCTGCGCATCCCCGACGAGATCATCGACATGGTCAAGGAGGAGGTGGTGGCCAAGGGCCGCGGGCGCGGCGGGCTGCAGCAGCAGAAGCAGCAGCGAGGCCGAGGCATGGGCAGCGCCGGGCGAGGTGGGCGCGGGGCCCTGAGCGGGGCTCCCTGGGCACCCGCAGCCAGCCCTGCAGGGGTCCCAGAGGGGTGGGGTGGACTCGAAGAGGCAGGGAGGTGCAGGCCCGGGGGTGGGGTCTCCTGGGCACAGCACGGAGAGGCGAGGCTTCTGCAGCCGGCAGCAACAGACACAGGTCTCACCTGCTCCACCGTCCTGTGTCCCCACTGGGCCAGGCGGCCAGGGCTGGCTAGAGCTCTGACGCCTCTGTCGTGGGCGCTGGCCTTGGTGTCTCGCTGTTGGGCTCTGAGTGGACTGAAGTCCCTTGCGGGTGGAGGGAGAGGTGGAGGCCAGCCGGCACCAGCTGCACCCGGCCCTGACCGCGTGCTGTGTCCTGGCCTGGGGGACACCCCACGTCCCCAGCCTCCAGTGCCAGCGGGCGGGCTCCCTTGTGGGCCAGCCCTGGACGTCTCCCGGGAATCCTACCCACACCCACGACACCATCCTGTGTCCTCCTGGCCGCCCTGGGCCAAGTGCCCACTGCAGCAGGGGAGCGTGCTCAGGCCTGTGGCCGTTGCAGCCCGTCTGTCCCCTCCCACAGGTGTGTTTGGCGGCCGGGGCCGCGGCAGCATCACGGGCACGGGCCGGGGACAGCCCGAGAAAAAGCCAGGCAGACAGGCGGGCAAGCAGTGAGGACCCCGGGGTCCCCGCCTCCAGGAGGGAAGAGAGGCCCGCGGTGGGCAGAGGGCCCGCTTCTGGGCTCCCCCTCCAGCTTCGCCTCCCGGCTTTTTAAGGGACCGTGGTACCCTGAGGTGTCACTGGGATTTTCGTTTTGTGACGCTGCTGTCCCTGCAGTGGACGGGGGTTTGGGGAGATTCCGTGGGTTCGCCTCATGACCTGCCCGGCACAGGCCCTGTGTGCGACAGAACAGCCAAGTGTGGCTGTCATCGCTGTCCCTGAGCTGCCTCTTCCAAAACATGCCGATCGATCGCGTGCCTGGTCCGTCCCCTTCCACTTCCCCTCTCCGTTACAAAAATAAAACGACTGCAGCGACTGCCTGCAGGCCCGTCTGCCCTCAGCCGCGTCTCCGTCCCCCACTGGGGAAGTGACTGTCCCCCGTGAGCGCTTCCTAACCCGCTGCTGTCTCGCCAGGCGGAAGTGGCTCCACAGGCCGCGTCCCGAGGCTCCCTGTCGCCCAGCACGGGCTGTCCTGTGGGCGCAGTGGGCCCTCGCCTGGGCTCGGTCTGTTCCTGACACTGGTGCCGCCGCCTGGAGGTCACCCTGACTGGCCGCCGGGGGACACGGGAGGGAGACCCCCGAGGCCCTGACCCGTCCCAGGCTCGGTGCCTGTGTCACACCTCGGTGTCCACCCGGCGTGGGGCCACAGGGAGCCGAGACCACACAGCCGCTCGCCGGTCCTGGGGCCTGGCTCCTTCTGCATCTGCTGCCCCGAATCCTGCTGCGGTACCAGAGGCCCTTGGGGAGGGACAGGACAGGGTCACGGGCCTCATCAGGACAGGGTGGCAGGTCCGGGGCTCTCGCCATCGGCCCGGGGGCTGTGGACAGCAACCAAGCCTGGCGTGGGGTCTGCCGGGTGCTGTGTCGCCCGGGTCCCCGCCTCCCGCCTCCTTGGCCCTGCTTGCCTAGGTGCGATGGCTTCCGGAAGCTTCTGTCTGGGCATCGGGCCTCGGGCTGGTTTCAGGAAGTCTCAGCCGCTGGGCGAGAAGAGAAACCAGTCACGCCCTGCTCCTCAGCCCGGCTGCGGGACTGCGCCCCGGGCCTGCCGCAGCCGCTTCTGCCTCCTGCGCAGGCCCCCACCGCCTGCACCCAGGGCTTTGTCACCATTGCTCGGTGGCAGGAGGCCCGTGATCAGGACGCAGCGCCTCAGCCGCCCTGCACCCTGCACCCTCGCCCTCGCCCTCAGCCCGGGTGCAGAGATGCGAAGGCCTCCCCTCCCCCTCTCTCGCGCCCCTCGCCAGGCCAGGCCTGGCCCCCATCGCAGGCTTCCCCAGCCCAAGCTGCACCTCCTGCCTCCACAGCGTGGGTCCCCGGCATGTCCCCCCATCCCTCGTGCAAACCGTGAACGCGGCACTTGCAGCGAGGGTGCCTAGGCCTGGTGCCCCCAGCAGGAACCACACTCTGCCTGCCCTGACCCAGGCCACCAGTGAAGTGCAGGGACGCTGTGTACAGAGGGCAGAGACAGGGAGGGTGTGATGGGGAAGAGGCAGCCAGGGAAGGAGCTGATGCCTGGGGTTGGAGAAGGATTGTTGGAGCTTCCCAGGGAGGACATATGTGCAAAGGCCCTGTGGCCAGTGGACATGGGAGTGTGACGGACAGGAAACAGGTGGAGAAGGAGGCAGGCCCAGTGAGAGGGCAGCCCCAGAGGGCTTAGGCTCCAATGCGAGAGCCTCCTGCCCCAGCCTTCCAGAGTGCGGGCACCATGGGCATGTGCTAATGCCCCCAGTCTCCCTCGCGCCTTGGGTCTGCCCTGACCTCAGAATCACATGGAGGGTGAGGTGTGGGGGCTCCTTGGGCCGCCACTCAGCACCGGCGGTCTGCAAAGCAGCTTCCAATGCTGCCATCTGCACTCAGCGCTAGGCGTGCCACGCAGGAGGCAGCCCCTGCACTGCTGCACAGAGAGGGTGGGTGGCCTGCCCAGGGTCACACAGCAGGGACCCCCACCCTTGGCTCCGAGCCTCCTCCCCCTGCCTGGCCCTGAGGACCTGGTGACCTCCCCAGCTCAGGTGTCAGGAGCAGGGGACTAGACCAGAGTCACCCGCTGCGGGGCGCGGCTTAGTGATGCCCTGCCTTCTACCCCAGTGTGGCCAGGAGAAAAACCCCCAACTATAGCGTCAGCTGAGGGGCAGAGGAGACGTGTGGACCTTGTGAGGTGCTGCTGAGTTCAATGCCCTGTGCCTCGGGTTCCTCACCAGTGGGGAAAACAGCGGCTGCACCTCACAGGGGTTATTGAGAGACGTGGATGAAGGGAGGAGCTCAGCACCGATGTGGGTACTGTGCTCGTATACAGCAAGTGCTCAGTAAATGCATGAGGTGAGGGCCAACCTGTATGCAGCAAATGCTCAGTGCAATTTGCAGGTTAGGATGGGCCTGGCATGTGGCAGGGGCCCAGTAAGTGTCCAGTGCCCTGCCCATCTCAGAACCGCCCTGCATACGGCAGGCACTTGATAAATGCTCAGCACCATCTAAGAGTGGTGGCTTGTGTCATCCCTGCCTCTTTGGCCTTCTAAGTTGTGGGCTGGGTGACAGTGACTTCATGGATGGGGCCCATGGGCGAGTTCCCCCTGGCCGACCCTCCCTGGAGCAGCCTCAGCCCTTGGGCTGCAAGCCCCTCCCACCCAGCCTCTGGCCACAGGATGACTCAGCCCTGCCCGCCTCCACTGGGACTGGCACCTAAACAGCCTGCGCGCTTGGGAGTGGCTATGGAGATACTTCCCAGCTGCCCCAGTGCCTAAAAATACTCCGTGTCCTCCTGTGTCAGGTGCCCACTCCCTCTTGGATCACACGGCTGGGACCCCCCCAGAAGGGGAGGGGAGGAGAGGCCTGGACTCGGGACCTTGTCCAGGTGACCTTTACCGCCTACTAGTGTCCCTTCAAAATGTAAGACAGTGCTGGGAGCAGTGGCATGCCCTTATAGTCCCGGGTACTCAGGAGGCTGAGGCAGGAGGATTACAAACTCAAGGTCCACCTGGACAACTGAGCCCTTGTCTCAACAATAAAAAATAAACAGGAGGGCCAGAGATGTAGCTCAGTGGCACCGTGTCTGCCTCACAAGTGCAAGGTCCTGAGTTTGATCCCCGGTACCAAAAAAAACCCAGAAATAAACAGGAACCACGGCACTGGGGAGGCTGAGGCAGGATTGCTGGGTGGGCTACATAGTGAGACCGTCTCAAAAAATCAAAAAAAGGGCTGGGGATTTAGCTCAGTGGCAGTGCGCCTCCCTCCCAAGTGGAAGGTCCTCAGTTTGATCCCTGGTACCAAAAAAAAACAGAGACCAAGTAACAGGAGAAGAGACATGGCTCAGTGGTGTAGGCTGGAGGCCCTGGTTCCGCCCCCAGCCTTGCCATGGCCTCCTGAGACACACAGCCGCTCCCGTGGCCCCAGACAGCTGTCAGCTCTCCTAACCCTGTGCCCTTGGACTTTCTGGAACCCTAAGGAAGGCAGGGGCAGCAGGGTGCAGGGAGAATCATGGTGCATTTCAGACTCGGGCCTCAGTTGTTCTGGGTCCAGTGAGAGAGCAACAGGTGCAAAGGGCCTGAGGCAGGTGTGAGCTGTGTGTGGGGCAAGCAGCCAGGGACGCTGGCACAGCTTGGCACCCAGCCCACCCGCTCCTCCTCCTCCTCAAGGATGAGTCAACCCACATGCATTCAGGGCCAGCCTCCCTGACTCCTAATTATTATGCTTAGGAAGTGTTTTTATTTGCTCTTTCTTCATTTTTCATTTATTTTTGAGACAGGGTCTATGTACTTCAGGGTGTCCTTGAACTCACTATGTAGCCCAGGCTGGCCTCCTGCTCACAGGGATCCTCCTGCCTCAGCCTTCCGAATGCTGGGAGGACAGGCACGCGCCACCACACCTGGTGAAAATGAACCATTTTAAAGCAAAGGAGTCGGTGGCATTCAGTCCACTGTGCAGTCAGTCCCCACTTCTGTTTGCACCCAGACCCTCACTTGACGTGGAAGAGGGCCTTCCCCTCCAGCCCTCACCCCCACACCCTGGCAAGCCTCATCTGCTGCCTGTCTGGATTTGCCTGTGGACCTTTCCTATACACAGGGTCACACACCAGGTGCCTGTGGCTCTGGCTTCTGACTTGCAGATTTTCATTACTGTTATTTCATTATTATCTTGTTTTGTGGTGCAGGGGGACAACCGGGGCCTCATACATGCTTGCAAGCGCTCACACCTCCAACACAACTGGGACCATGTGGGCCTTGCCCTGAGCTTCTTGGCAGGTGCAGCTCTAAGCTTGACCCCACCTCTAGCTGGAAAGAGAAACGAACCTGGCCACCTCCTAGGCTTCTACTCTGGAGCTGGGAGCAGACACAAGCAGCAGGAATGGGGACAAGCCAGGGGCTTCCCAGGCAGGGGTGTGTGCAAAGGTCCTGTGGTAGCCATGCTGGTGCGCTTGAGGTGGCTGCATGGGGGAGCAGTTGAGGGATAGCTGCAGCTGCTGCAGGGCCAGCAGGGCAGGGTCTAGGATGGGCTGCGGGTCGGGTGTGGAGACACAGGCCTCCACGTCCTGAGGCTGATCCTGAGTGGGCTTAGGCCCTTCTCACTGCCCGGAAGAGTGCCCATGTGCACGGGGTGCCCTGGACATGAGGGCGGATAGGGCCACGGATGGGCTGGACAGGCAGTGGGCAGATGTGTGGGTGCCCTCTACTCGTGAGCTGTGCACCCCGAGAGGCTGCAGGTGGGGGCTGGGCACCCACTGGGTGCCAGATGCTGCTACCTGCCTCTGAGTCAGCGTCGCCACGGCACCCGGGCGCACGGCCGGATGCTCCTGCGGGTGCGGGCGAGTCCCTGTCACTGCAGCCTGCACCGTCACAGCCGCCCCCTCCTGGGGGGGGGCTTATTTTTACACAGAGGACCTGGATGCTCTCTCCATGTCCACAGCAACCCCAGTGTCCCCTGGGAGGGTGGGGGTGCCACACAAGTGGGCACACCGGACGCAGTGGAGGGTGACGTGGAAACGGGCTGCCATAGGCAGCCACTGGAGATGTGGGGGAAACCAGGCTGGTCCGCAAACTTGAGCTTCCTGTGTCCTCTGGGGTCTGGATGCTGGTGGGGAACTGAGGCAGGTAGAGCAGTGTTCGGTTTCAAGGACCCTAAGCACTTCAGCTGCTTAGGCTCTGGGCAGCCCTCAGATCCCTCTGTGGGCCTCTCCACTCCACTCCAGGCCTCCTCTGAGCTATTCTCCCACAGGCCTGGAATCACCACCCTGGGGCAGCCCTTCCTTCAGGCATCTGCCCCCACCCTCTTTGCTGCTGTCTTGGGCCCTCTGACCCCCTCCTGGCCTTCCCTTCTCTCCCTGTGAGTTCCTCTCACCTTTGTCACCAGCTG